TTTCTTTATTTCATCTTATTTTGAAATTTAGTTTTGTAATTTGTTTCTTTTTAACAAGCACCCCTTTTCTTCTGGTTATCATTACCATCTTTTTTAAATTTTTTTTGTCCATTTACTGAGTGAAACTATTTTATTGGACTCATTAGGGTATATAACTTGCATCATTAATTTTTATTTTCTTCTTTAAAATACATTAGTCGTACTTTAACATTGTTTTTTCATGTTGCAAAAAAAAAAACCTGGGCCACCTATTAGTATTATCTACATGTATGTTTCAATTTAAAACTAAATAAGAGCTAATTTTTTTTTTATATTGAAAGAATTGGAATTTCCACAATTCTAATAAAATATGTTATTAAATTAATTTTGAAGAATAAAAAATATAAATATAAAGACAAAATAACATGACATTATTAAAAAAATTATATAAAAATTGATACTGTATGACTTGATCCGTGCAAAAAATAAAAATATAAACAAGTTAAAAATTTGATTTTTCAATTAATAAAATCTTTTTAACTTTTTTTTAAATAAAATAAAATTACACCTATAAGCGAAACCTATTTAATAACATTAGTTTCAAATCTCTAATACATATGGGTCGGAGACAAAGCCCAGTATGAAGCAAACCCATTAATTAACGTCATCTATTTAAGAGTTTGGCTTTTAAAACAAACCCTAGCTGCTTCTTGAGGCTAAACCATCTTCTCGCCGCTTAGAAGGGACAAAAACAACAGCAGCAGCAAGTCATGGGTAATGCCCTACATCCTGAGAATCATCTCTTCGACAGATTTCTTATGGTTTTTTTTTTCAATCTTATTTTTCGTAACGTTGGATATGATTTGCAGGCAAAGTGCATGGTTCTTTAGCTCGCGCTGGTAAGGTGAGAGGCCAAACTCCCAAGGTGGCAAAGCAGGACAAGAAAAAGAAGCCCCGTGGCCGTGCCCACAAGAGGATGCAATACAACCGTCGTTTCGTCACAGCAGGTAATCTATCTTTCCCATTTTTTCATTTAACTGCAGGTTCTTGTTCCGGTAGCAGAACCAAAAAATAATGAATTTATTATAATTACAGTTGTGGGATTTGGCAAGAAGAGAGGGCCCAATTCCTCTGAGAAGTAAAGCTTGAGAGAATGAGGAGAGGAAGAAACATTCATGGATTTTGGACGAACTATGTTGTTTTTCTTTTCCACAATACTACTGCTTTTAGTTGTTGATCTCAACTGTCAGACTATGCGGAGCATCCGCTCTCTTTTTGTTAAGTAGAGATGATTTGAGTTCTTTTTTTGTTAAATGTGTTTCTTCAAATTCTTGCTGTGGGCTTTGCTTAGTTTGTTGTTATGATGTTGTATTAGTTAATTTTTCTGCTCTTAAAATATGATTAAGGATGAAGGAGATGGTCTGTCTGGTTAGTATGGGGAAACAATGGATTTTAATTGAATTAACGAGGAAATGGGCAATCTTTATACACTTCGATTATCATTTGTACTTGCTAGAATGCAATAGGCTATCTACTTTGGTAGACTCGGAAGAGAATTGGAGAAACTCTGAGAAGATTCTAAATGAGGGATCCCTGCTCTGTCGTGACTCTAGTTTTCTTTTGTATGTGGTCGTATTTCTTATCGGTGCTGCTATGGGACCCGTTTTTGTGCATCACAAATCTGCTCTGAAAAATCAATGTTATATTCGATGGTTCTTTGTACTGAAAGTACTGTTTCTGCTGAAGCTTTTGGTTATGTTCTTAATAGTTCATACCTAGAATAACATAACAGTTCATAACTAGAATTCCCTGCAGAAAATGGCACTCACCAAGAATCCTTTTGCTAAGTACATTACTTGCTGTAGAGAGCCTATGCCATTACATTTCCTGCAAAAGGGGTAATTAGTGAGTGTCTTTTTCCTGTTTGACCTAGCATGTGTCTGCCTTGAATCATGGATATTACATGGTTGATGCCTCGAGAGTTGTGCAAGAAATCGCAGGCATAATCTGAAGCACTCCTGAGAAAGCTAGTGGGCTGCAAATTTCTCCAACGAAAATGCAAAATTGCAAATGGCTGATATACAGAATTGGCCGTGGAAGGTTTATCCCAATGCCAAACCCAACAAAGTTAGTTTCTCCGAATACCTATATTGGGGCAATGAAGAGTCAAACAACTGAGGGTTCGTTAGGTGTCTTGCAGTTATGAATGCTTGTGTGTGGCTCGTGCTCATGTCTTGTGATCAAAGAGATTTTAGAAGCCGAAAAGAGTCAAGTTACTCCTTATTTTAACATCTAGTACCTATTGATGTTGCCTTAAGGGATACGGTTTTTTCGTGTTATTGATAGTATATGTTTGAAAGCCAGTAGTAAGGCAGCTCCTAGGAAAAGATCGCGGCTAAAGAGATTGATGAATGCTAGAAAATATCTATCCCCAGAATTCAATACCCTTTCTTGATCAATTTCTTTGAATTGATCCCGCTTCTCATCACCCGGGTAAGTTTCTTTTCTAGTATATGTTACCTGTTTGAATGTCAATTTCGCAAAAGTTTTTCGGTTAATTTTGTTGATTCTTTTGTTTTAAGTGGGTTTGATTGATTGCGAAGTTTAACAATGATTTATTGGAGGGTTAGGTTTCGTTGAGAATATGAAGCTATTTTAGGGTGTTTTGAACACGGTTAGTTTGCAAAATTTGAGATTTAATGTGGGAAACCAAGTATATGGAGTGTTGCATGCAAACTGTTGTTGAAATTTCCTTGTGAAGAAAAAAGGTCTCATTTTTTCATTTTATAGCTGAAAACATTACAAGAAGTTGTTAAGAAATAAAAGAAAACACTCGCTGTAAAAGGCTTGTATGTTATTAAGAACCAAAGTGTATTTTTGTTTTGTTGTACCTTCCAAAGTTTATTTTTATTGTGAGATAAAGATGTATTTCTCTCATCGAGACATTTTAATACCCTAAAAATACTACAAATCTTTCAATTTTTTTTTTTTAAAATCAATCTAGAAATTTTTTAAAAGTAGATATAATATTTAAGTGATTACTTGTAATTAAAATATCGTCAATATAAATCAACAAAGCTATAGAAGGTTTTCCTTTTTGATATGTGAATAATGACTAATCAGCTTTGGATTGAGCAAACCAGCAACTTCAATTAACTTCAATAGATGTAGAGAACTTGGCAAATCATAGATAAGAAGCTTGTTTTAAACCATATAAAAACTTGTTGAGCAACATACAACACGACATTCTTTTCCATTTGCGAAAGACCAAGATTTAGAGACATAGATGCCTATCAATGTGAAGGAAAGTATCGTGAACAACTTGACCAACAGCACAATGGGAAAAAGTGTCATGATAGTCGATACCTTTCAATTGATTATAACTCTTAGCAACCTAAGGAGCTTTATAATATGCTCTATAAGACTATCAGAGTGTCGTTTGATTTTATAAACTCGACCGCAACTAATAGGTTGTTTGCCTAGTTGAGACGGAATAAGAGACCATGTATTGTTGATTTCTAAAGCTATTAATTCAGATTATATGGTGTTTTTCCAATGAGAATGGAAGGCTGTTTTAGCATATGCGGTAGGCTCAGAGTCCTGACTAACAGGAGCAACAAAGAAGCGATATCCTGGTGGGTATCGATTGTAAGAGACAAATTTATTGAAAGGATATCTCGTAAATTTTGGTAGACTAGATGACCAAGATAACTAGGTGACGCTACTTGGTTGCAAACATAGTCACGTAAAGTTGTAGAAGGGGCAGGAGAACGTTGAGAACAACGCAGAATAGGGACAAGAGGCTGTGAGGATGAAGAAACAGAGGAAGGTGTTTTTTTCTATTAAAGGAAGGAATATCGAGCAAAGACTCGAGAGACAAAATGGATTGATTGATTGAAAAAAAAATCAAAGGGGTAGAGGTGTCCACACAATGAGAGAGTATTGTTTCAACATTGGTGGATGGGAGTGGTAAGAGTAGATTCAAAATGATAAATATTATCATGAAGAACATCTCTGTTAGCAAATATTTGATGGTGCAAATTCATATAGTTTGTAAGCTTTTTGGTCAACTAGATAATCTAGAAAAACACAACGGGTGGCCATGCATACAGTTGCTCAAAAAGAGTTTTCCATGAGAGAAGTGTGGAAAGGTGGTTGTGAGATAGACAGTTGTAAGGACACACTCAGCCTAAAAATATAAAGAAAGATTTGCTTGAAAACGAAGGGCTCGAGCAAACTCAATATATGAAGATGTTTGCACTCTCCAACCCCAATTTGATGAGGAGTATAAACACAAGAATTATGAAAGATTGTTTCATTTTGTTAAAAAAAAAAAGGTTTTATGGAAGTAAACTTTGTGCCATTATCAGTGCAAAAGTTAGTTATAAAAGCATTGAATTGTGTTTTGATGAAAGAACAAAAAAGGGTCAGTAATTGATGTGTTCCACCTTTTCAAAACTAGAGTAATCATCCACAATTATCAAACAATATTTAGCACTGGAAAGAGATGGAATGGAATAAGGACCCCAAGTCTCATAGTGAACTCAAAAGGTCGAACAAAAGATAAAGAAAATGAATCTTTTTTGCTTTGCAAATGCACAAACATCACAAACATTATATGTCTTGAAAGGAAACTTTAAAGAACTTTCAGCCATAAAACTTAATCTAAAGAAATATAGATGCCCCACTCGATGATGGCAAAGATCGATGAGGGAAATGTTTTGAAAACATGGTGGACGATTAGCAATGTTTTATATTTTGTTTTATCCAAAGCTAATACAACCAAGTAATAAACTCTCTCTGATGCAGACAATTGTTATTATTAGGCTGTAAGAAGTGTGTGAGAGTGCTTAATGAATTAAAAAAATTCCATGTTGTACTCTAATCAATATACTCTTCTGTATTCCTTCTTCTATCTCCTTCCTCTCTCTTATAAACTTATGTGCTTATTCACACCTCAAATGGACATATCTTCTGTAATCACTGATAAGAATATATACAAGATTACAGCTTTGCCAGTGACTTAATGAAACATATAATTAAAACGTAGAAAATAAGACATGAATGATGGCTCCATGTTTCCAGAGGTTAAGAAATTAATTTAGGCTTGACTATATTATCATTTTTTCCTCTTTTTTTCATTTATTATTATTATAGTGTCGATTCATCATTACACTTTTGTTAGCAGGTGGGGATCTGCATTACTTGACTCATATATTCACTTTAAGGTAGTAAAAGGAGATGACAAATTAAGCCCTTATCTGGGTTTTTCATTTCCTGAAAGTTTCCCCAAGAGCTGACCCCATATAAAGCTTTTGAGGGGCTATATACTTGCTAGTTGATGACAACATTATAGCTGGGGCTGACCCTTTCTTTCTTTAATCTTGACCCACAGTTTAGCTATGCCTCCACAAATCACCTCAAGCTCAAATTAAATAGAACGCAAAAACTAACCATCACTTGCTGACATTAATTTAAACATGACAAGCTGTAAGAAACACTCCTTTTTTTCCTTTTTCTTTCTTTAATCATGAAAAGATTATCTAGGTTGACCAAGGGTTGGTGTTGTGCCTCCTGACCCTTAGGGAGATTCCACCTATATATATAGATCTTATAGGTTAAAAGCTAAGGATTTGCTGGTTGTTATCATTTCTCTCGTTATTCCTTTATAACTTAATGATAACAATAGCTAAAGCTGCTGTCTTAGCACAGATTTCATAGAGATGGGGATCTTCTGTCTGTGGGGAGCACCAAAGCCTGTGGACCCCAAAATTGTAAAATTCCTTTTTCTAGTACAATTAGAAAATTATTGTCTTGATTTACTGGGAAATCCCATCGTTGAAATTCTAAATTTCCTCCTTACTTTAAACTGTAGGATGGTCCCAAATCATAGTAAAGTTATTACCATGCTTGATAACACTGCGAGTTCCTATCTCTTTCTGTCATAGTCTGGATTGTATGTGTATGATCGATGTGTCCTTTATCCACTAATTGTTGAGAGCACCATGAATTCCTGTACGGAACCTTTTCTTGAAATAGTCCTATTGTACATTTTATGCGTGCACATCAACCTGCGCTCCTTCCATGTGTACATGGACACCATGAATTCATGCTGGGGATGAATATAAGGATCTGTCCCCATTACAAAATATACTGCACCAAGCAGTTGGAGAACATGAGCGCCTCTGAAAAAGAAAAGTAATCTCTGTGTTACAGTCATCAAGCATTCCATGCGGAATCATTTCCTATCTATATGTATATTCTTCTGTTGATATACAGTACTGTATCAACTTATAAAATCAATGATCTCTTGCCTTAATGGTTCTTACATTCTTACATGAGTAAGGTAAGAGAGATTCGTAAACCGAGGTAGGTACAAGGCTTGATTGAGCCCTTGAATAATAGATATTAGATTATTAGGTTAATATATAAAGCTAGATTAACAGAGCGTTTGTTTTTATTTGTTTAGAGTGTTTTTTTTTAATCTACAAAGCATTAAATTTATATTTTTGAAGTGTTTTTCATAATTTTAACGTATTAATATTAAAAATAAAAAATATTATTCTAACATAATTTTGATTAAAAAACACTTTTAAGTATTACCGAAAGCACATGGTGAATTTCTTTAGATAAAAGCAGTGTATGCCCACCTCTTAAAAGCCTCCCTCTGTTGGGTCTTTAGCCATGATCACCTCTACCTTTTCATTCCCGCCCCGCGTATGCACGAAATGTACACGAGCATTATACCTTATTTCTAATTAAGGATATGCACTTATATATGTTTTCTATCATTACTTCTAGTGTCGATGAATCAAACCATTAATTTAATTCTAATCATTTCATTGAGATTGTGTTGATATAAGTTCATTACTATGCTTTACATTTATTGATAAATTTTTAAAGTTGTGCTAAAAACATCAAATTATATTTATAGGATACTATATATCAAGATTAGTATTCCAATGTTATTTTATTGCTTGAGTACTTTTAGGGCTAATTTAACTTTTAAAATCAACTTTCTATATCTATAATACTATCCTAAAAAGTTGGCTGCAAAATTTCCTAAAACATCTTATGTTTTTGCCTAAAAAGCTTAAGACAATAAATCATCGTATCAAATATATTTCTAAAACTTTATGCATGTTAAACAACATGTGTTACACTAGTTAGTTACACCAGACATAAAATTTGAAAGGCAACTAGTATACTAAACACCCTTACCAAATAAAGATTTCTTGATATCTCTATTATATTACACCATTAGGCAACTTTCCTATCGTATGTGGCCAACCAAATAAGCACTTGAATTAGCTCAAATTATTCTGTCTGCTGTGCTCAGATATGGGAGAGATGTACAAAGTATATGGTGGGTTTTGTTTAGAAAAAATATAAAACCAATAAAAATAGTAATTTTAAATTTTTTTAGGAGTCTTAGGAATCTTATTAGATATTTTAGAATAGTTTAGGATTCGAGCGAAGATTACATGAATATTAACTCTTCTTTCAAGAGCTTGATCAATTCTTTAAGGTTGAATTGTTACAAATCACAAACTGTTGGATTATCTGATCCTAATAGTAATCCATACGAATCATTAGATTATAAATATCTTAAACTCTTTTATAAGAGAAGGATTGTTATATCTTGAGTTATATTTCTTTTTTTTTTTTTTTTGTGTTTTCAAGTGTTTCTCTTTGATCTCTTGATAAACAATAAAACATGAGATATAACAATCTATTTTTTTTTAACAAAAAAAATATCTCTATTGATGACAAACTATCACTTTTCCCCTTGAAAAAATATCACATATAATATTCAGGATAATTTTTAAAAATTTATATAATTAAATCCTTACTTGATTTTTCTAGATTTAGAATTGTAATCCATTAACTTATTTACAATCAAGTCTCACTTAATTAATCATCCTAGTTTAATTTTTTATTAATGATTCTTAATATGTGTGATCCATTAAGTTCATAATATGTTAACCCATGTATAAATCATAATTCTAATCAAAATAGTATTATATAAATTAAAAAAACAAACCTTTATCAATTCAAAAAATTGATTGATTTATATTTTAAAATTAAGTGTATTATTTAGTATTATGTCATGATCCTCTAAATATAAAAAAAAATTATATGTAGTTTCACTTAACCTTTCAGTGACAAATTTCTTAGTGTAGTTCTTATTCTTTTATCTTTAATGTTCTATTAGACATTTAAGCATATAGTATATTTATTTTGTCAAATCATATTTATTATTAGCACTATAATCATTGATTTTTTTAATATTATTTAAGAGTACGTGGAGCAATTTTCCTTATTCATATAAAGCGATAAATTCTCTTTTGATCATTCAAATACCTTGATATAGTTTATTTCATACCACTAGTTGTTATTATTTGTTAAAGGAAAATATAGTTAAGATCTAAACATATTATAAAAAAAATTAAAAAAGCATAAGAAAAATATTGTTCTTCATGCCACTATTCACCTAAAGACAAATCATTATGTATTGTTATAGCGTTTTTTTGTTTTGTTTTTCAATTACGTCATTCTAGGCCCAAATTAATAGCCAATTAAAGAACTTTTATTGAGGAAGGTCAAGATTCAAAGAAAAGTAACTAAATTGAAAAGGGAAAAAAAGGGTGGTTGTTATAAAATTAGGATGAAATGTTCACTTTGGTCTTTCAACTTTTTAAATTATAAACTTTTAGTCTCTTAAAATTTAGGCAACTAAGTTTTAGTCCCAAACCTTTTTTTTCTCTAGTTTGAGAGAGGAGAGATAAAGTGATTGGATTCTGATGATATAGAAAAAATCTATTCTGATTATAAAGAAAAAAATCTTGATCGACAACGATTTTAGCCATAAAAAGAAGTTATTTTGGTATTAACAAGTTTCTTTTGATGAGGAGTGCCCTATACACTCGCTTTTAGGTGCATGACACGTCATCAAATGATGAAACATCGACTTTCCATGATGGCATTGCAAGCATCATGACACCTCTTCCACCTAGACCAACATGTGTGGTGTTTTATATGATGGTTTGTCGCCAACGACCTTTTCTTCTTTTTTTTTTCCTTTTTTTTCTCTATTTTTTTTTAAAATTCGTGTTAGTCATTTAAACTTTCACAATTGTCTTCTCATTTACTAATATTTAAACTTTGTTCTTTATTTTTTTATTTATAGTTTTTGTTCTTGGCCTTTTTGTCAAATTTTATTTTTTTTCAATTTGATCCTTGGATTCATAATTATAATATGTTATTTTTTCAAATTCAAACCTCATTTCTTTTTTGTGTTTTGGAATATTTTATGAATTTAATTTTTATTTTTTATTCCCCCCTTTAATTCAAAATTATAACTAATCCTCTCAATTACTTTTTAGTTTAAACTAGGTATTCATTCTTTTAATTGCTATTTTTTTTAATCTTTTTGTACAATTGAATTTTTTTTTTTATAGTTATCCACTCATAGGGAATAATGGTAAAGGGTATTGGAGTTAAGGACATAAGTTCTTCTATATTTCAACTTTGATCTTTATTTTTTATTTTATTTCTTGAATCTTTTATCAAATTTCAATTTGCTTTTAATGTCATCCTTAGATTCATAATTTAAATTTGTGATCTTTTTTAATATGGTCCTCATTCCTTTTTTTTATTCTTTTATGAACTTATTTTTTCTTTTCAATTCAAATTTCTAGTGAGTCCTCTCATTTAATTTTTATTTCATATTATTTTGTTTTTTTAATTGTATTTCTTGTATAATTGATTTTTTTAAAAAAATTATCCTTCAATATTTAATTTATTAGAGGTTGAAACTCATGATTTTTTAAGATGAGGTGCTTTATGTTTAATGACTCGATTCATAAGTTTGAAAAGTTAACACTAGTTGTCATCTTTTTTTTTTTGCACTAT